CAAGCTGCTTTAATCTCAGATGAGCCAGCTCGAACCCCTTCGAGACCCATGAGACCTGGAGTGCAGCTGGCAGCAGCCAGAAGTGAAGACAGCACAGGCACACTCCAGCACCCTGTCCTCTGGGCCCTGCAGGAAAGTTCTCAAGGCCTGGAGCCATGATACCACTTCTGGCCCGACCTGTAAGTCACCTTTTGGGTGGGTCTGGCCACCCCAGATCAGGGCCTTCTGCTCCCCAAGGGCGGGACGGGCAGCCTAAAATCTGAGACTATGTGGAGCCAGAGGTGCCTGGAGATTGAAAGGATCTCCTGGGCTGATCAATACTGTGGCCTGAACTCCCAGCCAGGTCCCAGTGGGGCTTGGTCTCCCTGGGGATTCCATGCAGCCCTCCCCTGACAGGGGGCCTCAGAATGGAATGTTCTGGGACTAGCAGGTGTGTAACAAATACTACAAATGCTTGCTCACTGATGTCAGAGCATCAGGGCTGGCCCTGGGCCGGATGCAGAGGTGAAGGCTGACTTTGTTAATACCAGCTTCCCTCTCTCTTTGTACCTTCTGCTGCCCTTACCGGTTCTGGGCCTCTTCCTTGCTCCTCTCTCCTGACCTTAAAAAGTCTCTTCAGGAAAGGGGAAGAGAAATTTAGACTATAGTGTAAATGACTGATTGCTTTAAGTGTCTGATCCCTTTAAAGCTCTGCAGCCCCCCTTTCTGTCTTTTTAACAAGCTAGACATGTCCTCAGTCTTGGGCTTCTGAAACAGGGATCATGAATCCCTGGGGATATCTGCTGATGTTCTGGGGAGCAGACAAAGCCACAAGATAACCCAGATAACCTGCTATACCTTCCTGGAACATTTTATTCAGTGAAACGAAAAAAGTTGCCTGGATTTTAAAGACAAAACAAAGAGTCTACTCACCATTCACAATTGTTAAATTTGTTCCCACAAAGCTTAGAGGAGCATAGTTCCCACCTGATTACTCCTGCCATGGACTGTAGAAACATCCGGTGATGAGAGGACATCCCCTTCTGGTCACAGTCATTTATCATCTTGGTTGGTAGTGACCTGCTCTGCAGGACTTAATGCTTTTCTATAATCAATAATATTTTTGAAACAAAGATTAGACTTTGTATAAGTGTAAACCCACGTTGCACCATCTGGACCTTACACAAAGCTAAAAAGGGCATCTAGCAGATTGACCTGTGTTTCTGAGCACATGTTTACTTAAAGGTTTAAGAGTCTTAAGAAGTACAAACATGACTGTTCCAGGTGTAAAACTCTGAGAAATCACAGGTGGAAACTGTTCATGGAACCTTAGTGGAGAGTGCAGGCTACAAGTACAGAACAAGGTACGAGGAGCACAGAGATGGACTTGAGAATATGAATGAAAAAGGAGAAAGCTTGGACACCAGGTGCGAGGGCCATCACAAGGAGATCACAGAAGACCTGGGCAGGAGAGTCAGGAGCTCTGGGCTCTGCAGTGCCCCGGACCCTGTCCTCCTCCTGCACCTACATCTGTACATAGGTCCTGCAACTCTAAAAGGAGAAAGTTCCCTAGAGTCCAGCCATCTCCAAGTCAAAGCCATGGTGTCTGACTTTTGACAGAATCTGATTCTGTTTCCAAAGCTCTGATGACTTTTGCTGCAATGAGATTTCTCTCAATCTTCCCAGTGTTCTCACTAGTCAGTGGATGCTGGAGAAATGAGATGAATCACGTTGGTGGTGTGACGGGTGAATAAGGAAGTAGATGAGTTCATGTTTTGTTTAGGACTGCCTCCTGGAACTGGGCAAGGGTGGACCCCACCCTCGGGGCACTGGGGTCACTCCTCAAAGTCCTCCTGTTTCCTCCTGAAGTACCCAGATGTTCTCCTGGTGTGCCTCTGTCCAGCGCCCCTCAGCCCCCGTGGGCTCCAGGGCTGATGGTGGGGATGTTCTTTGTGATGCTTGAAGGGCTTCCCGGGCCATTGCTCCCCACCCCACACCCTTTGTCTCTAGTGATCACCAGGCACCCTGTTTGCCTTCCTCTGTCCTCAGCTACGTCCTGTCAGTCACTTGGGTCATGATGGGCCAGAACACAGAAAAACAGGGCCCTTGCAGACCCATCTCTGGATTGAGAGCTGGTGTGAATTCTCTGGGCTTCCCAGTGGCTCAGTGGTAAAGAATCTGCCTGGAGTGCAGGAGATGCAGGTTCAATCCCTGGGTCAGGAAGATCCCCTGGAGGAGGGCATGGCAACCCCCTCCAGTATTCTTGCCTGGAGAATCCCATGGACTGAGAAGCCTGGCGGGCTACAGTCCATGGGGTCACAAAGAGTCAGACATGACTGAAGCGAGTGAGTACACACACATGCATGTGAATTCTCTGGGGGGCAGGTGGTGGTAGTCATCTGCCTCCCTCCGATCTGTAGAGAAGCCAGACGCAGGAAAGCAGAGAAGAAAAAAGAAGGGGAACATGCACACACAGAGAACCTTCTAGAGTTGCAAGACATTCACCCTCAGTGTCCCTTGCTGGGTGTGGGAACAGTTTCCTCGCTTACACGCTTGAGAAGTGGAGGCTCCAAGATGCTGAGGAATAGGGGTGACTGGTGTCACCCAGGGCCTCATGACTCACCCACCCCATCCCATAGGCACGGTGATCTCCGTTTTATGGATGGGAAACTCAGACGTAGAGATACCAGGTAACCCACCCACAGGTCAAGCTCATAAATGCTGGAGTCAGGACTGCAGTCTCAGAGTTCTGACTTGAATTTGTGTGCTTCACCACGGTGTTGTTCTGCCCTCCAGGCCTCAGGGCTTTTAAACGCTGGACTCCTAGTTCCCTCGTCTCTGGCCTCAGCCAAAGAGGTCCTGAATGCCGAGCATCTGAGGCCACCTGGCACCTCCCTCAGTGCAGAAGGATGCTCCAAGTGGCTCAGTGGAAAAAGAAAGGCAAGGTTGCAGCTGCCAGCACATGTACAGCGGGCCCCTCAGCCTGGCTTGAGGGCAGGTATCCCCGATCTTCCCAGGCATCTGCCACTGACTCTGATCCACAGGTGGGTGAGGGTGGTTTCCACCTTTCCCCATCTGCCCAGAGGACCGGCTCTGGCTCTCCCACCCGCAGCCTCAGCTGCCCTGAGAGCTGGTTGAGAAGTCACCCTTGGCCAAGATAGAGGCCTGGTTCCTCTGGAGCCACACCTCTGTTGTCCCCTTCCACGACCAGATGAGTCAGGTAGAGTCTTGGTGTGGTACCCCAAGATGGAGGTACCCCAGCAGCTCTTCCCCCGCCGCCTTCCCCATGACAGAGTAGGAGCCCAGGGGCTGAGCCCAAAGCAGAAAAAGATGTGGAGACAACAGGGAGAGTGTAGGGTATTAGGACAGATTCCCGAGAGAGACTGGGGGTGGGTGGGTGAGCCTGACCACTGTCTAGTGTGGCTCAGATCCTGCATGCACTTCTGAGCAGAGAAAACTGGTTCCAGTTTAGACCTGAAAGTGTCCGTTCTTGAGAAAAAGACCTTCCTGTTAATTCTGAGCAGCTAAAATGCATCACTTGTGTGACAAAATTGCTAGTTGATGCCCCAATATACATTTGTTACATAGTACCATTATTATTACACATCACTTAGTGCTCGAGTTGCTAGGTTCTTAGCCTGGTTCTTAGCTAGCTGTGACCAGGAGACAACATCCTGGCTAATGGAATATGCATGAAAGTGAGATGTGTGTAAATTCTGAGTCATATCCTCAAGGATATGGCGGTGTGCCCTTGCCTTTCATCATGTGGCCTTCCTCATGGCTGGAATGTAAACACGATGGCAGGAATTGGAGCAGCCATTCTGGGCCACAGTATGGAAGCACATATTGAGGATGGCAGAGCAAAGAGCTACAGAGTCCTGGATCCCTGATGGTTGTGGAGCCACCATGATACTTCCACCTATGTGTTTGAACTTCTACATGACAGAGGTAGAGATTTCCATCTTGTTTAAGCCAATATGATGTGGGTCTCTTTGTTATAGCAAGCAACTTGATTACCCACCAGTGCAGCTCAAAGTTCAGACTCCCTAAGTACCCCTTGGTTGTGAGGTTCTGTAATTGCTCAGGTAGATAAAACACCATGCTATAAGGCCCTGCATATGCCTCATGGGTGTAAATCATTGGCTGAGTTTGTAGGGAAATGGGCAGCCTCCTTCTCTGCTAACCCATGACTACTTTCAGGCAGGCTGACAGGTCCCTGCTTCTAGAACAATGGGACCAGCCTTGGCTCCATTTCATTAGACTGAGGTTCCCTTGATGGAAACAGTTGGCGAGGGAAGAAAGGCCATGGGGACAAACGGGAGGAAGGCTGTATTCTGACCCTGATTCTGTGTTACCAGTCCCTGCTGTGGCCCTGGACCAGTTTCTCCAGATGTGAAAATGGAAATGACCCTGACCACCATCCACAGGGCCTCGTCCCCATGATCTTTCCCCCAGGGGCCTGGGGAATGTCTTGTCAAGCTTAGGACAGCTTGTTTTTTCTAAAGGTGACTGCCCTCTTTGATTTGATGTCTCAAGTAGCTTGACTTCAGGGTACAAAGCTGTAGGAATCTCCAGCCTGGCATCACATCTGTGTTTCTCGAGCCAGTCCTTCTACGCAGTCACACCCCAGCCACGAGACTTAACAGCTTTTTTTATTCCTCCTTTTAAATGACAAGCCCATCACTAAAGGAAATCAACCCTAAATATTCACTGGAAGGACTGATGCTGAAACTGAAGCTCCAATACTTTGGTTACTTGATGCGAAGACTTGACTCGTTAGAAAAGACCCTGAGGCTGGGAAAGACTGAAGGCAGGAGGAGAAGGGGACGACAGAGGATGAGACGGTTGGATGACATCACTGAATCAATGGACATGAGTTTGAGCAAGCTCTGGGAGACAGTGAAGGACGGGGAGGCCTGGCGTGCTTCAGTCCATGGGATCACAAAGAGTCAGACAAGACTAAGCGACTGAACAACATCAGCCATCATGCCAGCGTCCCGCTCCATCTGGGTCATGTGCAGTGAGGGGATGCTGGTCCCGTGTGGGCTGACCCCTCCAAGCACAGACACTGCCAAGGGGAAGAGCGGCTGCTGCAACCTCTACCGTCTCCAGGTCTGCTTCTCCCAGAGACCCTCTCCTGAAATAGATGTCTGTGACTCCTTGTCCTTCCATAGGTAATACCCACCTTTCTCCTGGAGCAGGCTATTCCTGAGAAATTCCTTCTCCCTGACCCTACGGGCTGCAGGGGCCCTGAATGGGCTGCAGCAGGACCTTTTCTTGCTGGGAGGACTTGAAAACAGGCAGAAGGTTCTCAGCCATCTAGGTTGAGCCCTGACCATCCATTCCTATTATTTTTTCTTTACTGCTTTCAATGTGGCAGTTTCCTGGTCAGGAGGGACTCCAGGGCCCAGTGCAGGGTCAGGGCGGAAGCAGGGCTCCAGGGAAAGGTACCTGGGTGCCCTGCTGTTCTGTTTGTGGTTCCCACCATCTCTTCCTCCAGTCTCATCCACTCATGAAATGAGCACGCGAAGGCCCATCACACTGCCTGCTCGGTCTCAACTGTCTCTTCTGTGAAATGGGGGGCAAGAAAACCCTTCACCCCTTCAGACAAGGGGCCAGACTGTCTGGTCTCTTGGGTTTTCTGCCATCTCTGAGACCTGCAGTTCTGCAAAAGACTGAGTCACTAGAAACAACTGAAATTCCTATTGAAACCTGGTGAAAAAATATATTTTTTCCAGAAGCGTTAAGCAATAAACTGCTGACATGGTGGCCATACCCCAAATACTTTGGCGTGTATTTTCTACACACAAGAATATTCTCCACCAACACGACCATCAAATGAAGTCAGTCTGCCCTGTTTTACCATCCAGTCTTCCTAGTAATGTCCATTGTAAAGTGAAAGGGACACGAGATCCTGTGTCCCATTTAGTTGTCACATCTCTTTGGTCTCCTTGCCTGGGAGGCATTTCTCAGTCTTTTATTTAAAAAAAAATAGTTTTATTTCCTTCTTAATTTATTAGTTTGTTTGTTTTTGGTTGTGCTGCGTCTTCATTGCCGCACAGGGCTGTCTCTTGCTGGGGTGAATGGGTGGGCTACTTAATTGTGGTGCATGGGCTGCTCATTGCTGTGGCTCCTCTTTTTGCGGCACACGAAGCTCTAGGGCACGGGGGCTCGGTAGCTGTGGCTCGCAGGCTCCAGGGCCAGCTAATTCACTTTAGTCGTGTCCAGCTCTTTGTGACCCTATGGACTATAGCCCACCAGGCTCCTCTGCCCAAGGGATTCTCCAGGGAAGAATATTGGAGTAGATTGCCATGCCCTCCTCCAGGGGATCTTCTCAGCCCAGGGATTGAACCCACACCTCTTATGTCTCCTGCACTGGCAGGCAGGTCCTTTACCACTAGCGCCACCTGGGAAGCCCCCTGGGTTCGAGAGCACAGGCTCAATAGTTGAGGCACGTGGGCTTAGTTGCTCCATGAAATGTGGAATCTTCCTGGAGCAGGGATCAAACCTGTGTTCCCCGAATTGGCAGGTGGAGTCTTTACCACTGAGCCATCAGAGAAGCCCCTCAGTCTTTTATTGGCTTTTATGATCTCAATACTTTTGAGCATCACAGTCACTATTTTTTATAGCATGTCTTTCAATTTGAGTTTTCTGGTGTTGCCTCGTGCTTAGATTCAGGGTCTGGATCTTGGTAGGAACAGAAGTGGTACCTGTTCTCACGACGGCACGATGTTCTGTTTGCTCTGTCACTGATGGAACTAATTCCTGATTAAGGTCTGTCTGCCAAGTTTCTCCACCAATGGGAGTTTTCTAATTAGTAAGTGTTTTGTGGAGAAATACTTTGAAACTATGTAAGTAACCAATTACACATCAGATAATTATGGTTAATAATTAATTCTAAATATCCGGGTAAGTTAATTAACACAATTGATCAATTAATATATGTATGGACTTGTGGTTTTCTGTTTCATCCAGCAGATTATGATTCATTATCACCATTATTTATCCTGATGCTCAGATCATCCCAGATCTGGTCTTTGGGAGCCCAATAAGGCCAGCCTCTGTGTCTTTTTGACACGTCCCCACCATTCTTTGAGTACTTCCTCCCTTTCTAGCACAAGCATATGTTCTGGGCTCATCTTGTAGTTTCTGGTCCCAAGCTCTGGAATCAGCTGTTTCTCCCCAGAGCTCTGACTCTTTTTAGTGGAGACTGAATAGTGACAAGACTCTCTTTGATCTAACTTTAACCAGGCTCCTCTGGTTAGGGTTCACTGCTCCTCGTCTCCCTCTGTGTGTTAGGCCACATGCATGGCCTTGGACGGGTTACGTTTTAACTATCCCATCAGCTTCAGGCCTGGGCAGGAAATTTTCCATAGCTTTCCCCCAGCTATTCATGCTTTTTGAAAGCCTGCCCAGTGCCAGCAGCTTCCAAGCCTGCGTGGCTCAAAGCAGCCTGCACTCAGGGCCCTACCCAAGGGGCCCGGATTCCAGCACTTGTCTCAGAAGTGGGCTGAGGGGGCACTGGGTGATTTGGGGGCTTCCTGTGCACCCCAGTATGGTTTCCCCTCCCAGGATATCATTCATCTTCCTAGAGAAGAGATATACAAGGTGCCAGTGGACAGAAAAATCCCAGAATCCCTTGCACAGGTCATCAGAGACGGACAGCCCCGGAGACCACCAGGGCAGAGGCTTGTTTACACGAAGCCAGCAGAGCTGGAAAGCCGGGGCTGTTCCTGGCCCGCTGCTTCCAAAACCTGTGTGATTAGTCATCATGGTGTTGTAGTCTGTGCCTTAAAGAGGGGCTCCTAAATTGTCTAACCTGCGGGCCCCACTGCCTGGCCTGCCCTGGGTCCAAGGTCACATACACCATGACTCCTGGCTCCTGTGAGCCCTAGAGGGTGAGAAATGACCAGTACAGGATGCTGTGTGGGGAAGTGGCCAGTGTTGTGGAGAGCAAGACGGCCTGGGCTTGAACCTCAGCTCTGATGACTACCAGAATTTACCTAGGTGTGCTGTCCTCAACTTCCTCCAGTGGTACCTGCCTCACCCCGCAGGGCTGATATGAGGAGTAAATATGTTCATCCATATATATGGACTCTACATATCTGTCTGTCTATTAATCTATCAAATATGACTTCCTATCTGTCTATGAACTCTATCTGCCAACTCTGGATCTACCTACATATCAACTCTATCTATATCAACTCGTAACAACTCTATCTATCAATTCTGTCTATCTATCTATCATCTGTCTGGAAAAAGTCAATTTTCATTCCAATCCCAAAGAAGGGCAATGCCAAAGAATGTTCAACTACTGCATAATTACACTCATTTCACATGCTTGCTAGGGTAATGCTCAAAATCCTTCAAGCTAGGCTTCAGCATTATGTGAACTGAGAACTTGCAGATGTACAAGCTGGATTTAGAAAAGGTAGAGGAACCAGAGATCAAATTGCCAACATCCATTGGATCATAGAAAAAGCAAGAGAACTCCAGAAAAACATATAATTCTGCTTCATTGACTACCCTAAAACCTTTGACTGTGTGTATCACAACAAACTGTGGAAAATTCTCAAAGAGATGGACATACCATACCACCTTACCTGTCTCCTGAGAAACCTGTATGTGGGTCAAGAAGCAACAGTTAGAACCAGACATGGAACAATGGACTGGTTCCAAATTGGGAAAGGAGTATGTCAAGGCTATATATTGTCACCCTGCTTATTTAACTTATATGCAGAGTACATCATACTCTGCTGATATATGGAATCATCAAGCTGTAATCAAGACTGCTGGTATAAATATCAGTAAACTCAGATATGCAGATTACACCACCCTTATAGCAGAAAGTGAAGAGGAACTAATGAGCCTGTTGATAAAAGTGAAAGAAGAGAGTGAAAAAAGCTGGCTTAAAACTCAACATTAAAAAAAACCACGACATTCAAAGAACTAAGATCATGGCATCCAGTCCCATCACTTCATGGAAAATAGATGGGGAAATGATGGAAACACTAACAGACTTTATTTTGGTGGGCTCCAAAATCACTGCAGATGATAACTGCAGCCATAAAATTAAAAGACGCTTACTCCTTGGAAGAAAAGTTATGACAAACCTAGATAGTGTATTAAAAAACAGACATTACTTTGTTGACAAAGGTCCATCTAGTCAAAGCTATGGTTTTTCCAGTAGTCATGTATGGATGTGAGAGCTGGATCATAAAGAAGGCTGAGCGCCAAAGAATTGATGCTTTTGAACTGTGGTGTTGGAGAAGACTCTTGAGACTCCCTTGGACTGCAAGGAGATCAAACTAGTCAATCCTAAAGGAAATCAGTCCTGAATATTCATATGACTGATGCTGAAGCTGAAACTCCAATACTTTGGCCACCTGATATGAAGAGCCAACTCATTGGAAAAGACCCTGATACTGGGAAAGATAGAAGGCAGGAGGAGAAGGGGACAACAGAGGGCGAGATGGTTGGATGGCATCCTGACTCAATGAACATGAGTTTGAACAAGCTCCTGGAGATGGTGAAGGATGGGGAAGCCTGGTGTGCTGCAGTCCATGGGGGTGCATAGAGTCAGACATTACTGAGCGACTGAGCAACAACAATCGTCCATCTATCTACATGTCTGTCTATGTGTCTATCTATCAACACTATCTCCCTCCCTGTCTATCTATTTTGTGTATCTATCAACTCTATCATCTGTGTACACAGAGAGAGTCACAGAAAGAGTCCCCAGACAGCACTTCAATTCTGTCATTGAAAAAGAAGCGCTTTTTATAAAAAGCTGCCATGAAAGTCATAAGTCACATGTCCCAAAGCCTGAAGAGCCCTGATCCTCCCCTGTTGCTTCAAGGCCAAAGACTGTTCCCTGACTTCTTTGCCTTATTTAGGGGTGGGTTGAAAGACTCTGAGGTTTCAGAGCGTTTTGATTCGGGACCGTCTAGCGGTTTGGCCTGCTCCTTCCACACCCGGCGCTCACTGGCGGTGGGGGAGCCTCAGCCTGGGTCCTGTGCTGCCTCCTGGCTCTGTCCCCTGAGGAGGGCCAGCCACCCCCTGGCTCCAGATGGGGAGAAAATGAGAGCCCAGGAGGGCTTGGGAGCGGTGAGGGTTTGGACACTTGGGAGGGTTGGTAGCTAGGAAGAAAGTCAGGTGGATGTTAACTGGCTTGTGGGAGAAAACCACAAAGGCAGCCTCAGAGGTGCTGCCCTGGGGATTCCAAACCACCTCCAGGAGAGTAGCCACGTGGGAAATGTTCTCCCCTTTTGCCCACCATCCTGCCCACCTCTCCCTTCTTTCAGAAAGCTGGGGGCTCAAACGCTTGAATTTCACCTGCTTTTCCTTTCTTCTTCCTCAGCCAGCATGGGTGAGGCCAAGCTTGAGGCACAGGCGTGCTGGCTCAGGGTCCCCTTTGGGAGGTTGGGGTTCAGCTCCTCCCCAGCAGAGACCCTCCCCGGGTGCCAGCCCCATGCCTTCCCTTGTCATCCCAGCTCCCCAGAATGTGTCCTCCACCACCATCTCCTCCATCCTGCTTCTTCCTCTAACCTGCTTTCTCTGCCACCTTCCTCTCGGACTCTTGTTCCAATCCGAGGTTCTGGGCATCACGGAACCAAACTTAGGTCCGCTTGCCTGCACCCAGCAGAGCTAGTCTACTGACACCACGGTGTGGTGAAGGGAAGGGCAGTGTTTACTGCAGGTCCCGAGCAGGGAGTGCAGGCAGCTAATGTTCAGAAGGCCCAGACTCCCTGACAGTCTTCAGGGAGCAGTTCTGAAGATGAGGTGAGGGACTGGGTCATAGGGTTTGCAGTCAGCCTGTGGACATTCTTCTGACTGGTTGGTGGTAAGGGAATCAGGGGTCACCATCATCAGCCTTTTAGCTCTGTTCAGTCTGGGGTCTACGTGCTTGTGGTCAGCATACACTTCACTTCTTCCACCTGTGGGGGTTTCAGTATCTGCCAAGCTGCTCACAGGCTATCGCCCAGGATATTATCTGTAGCCCTTGAGGAAGAACTAAAGGCCATTGACTTTTGCTCAACTTTTATTATTTTGTCTTCCTTTATTTCTGAATTTTCTCACTTCTCAGGTTAAATTTATTCTTTGGAACTTGGAAAAGGCCTAGGAGGCTAAACTTTTCCTCCAAACAAGAGGCATGGTGGGGTGGGGGGAGAGTATCTGTCCTGGGAAGGCCCCAAAGGGTCCTGCTTACTTACCTGGGGACCCAAAGGGCTGCAGTTCTTCATCTGTTATCATTTTCATTCCAAACAAGACACTTTTGAAAATCAAAGGGGACAGTCCTAGTGACTGAAGCTGTGGGTCAGCCTGCTCCACCACTATCATCTCATGCCTGCATGCTCAGCTGACACCCTAGCCAGGCCTGCACCTTCCTCCTTCCTTTTTCTGCTGAAATAATGGCAACATTTGCTTTCATTCCACTCAGACCTGTCTCTCCTAACCAGCTCCCTGTTGTGGGCTCGAGCCAGCTTCTCCTGGTTTGCTGAACTGATTGTTAGATTTTCAGGAATTTTTCAGGTCAGCTGTCATCACCTTAAACTGGAAAGTTATAAACTTACAATTTAAGTTTATAAATCTAGAACAATATAAGTTCTAAATCCATCAGTTGCTCATTATATTACTGTTTTCTATGCTTTTGATGATATATATATCATAGCTCAGTTGGTAAAGAATCTGCCTGTAATATAGGAGACAAGGTTTCAATTCCTAGGTTGGGAAGAGCCTCTGGAAAAGGAAATGGCAACCCATTCCAGTATTCTCACCCGGAGAATCCCATGGACAGAGGAACCTGGAAAACTACAATCTGTTAGATCACAAGTCTGACACAACTTAGCAACTAAACCACCACACGTCCATTTTATTTGTTTCATGGGAATACCATGGGCTCATTGATTCCTGCATTTCTGTTTCCAACTGTGTCTTCAGTGACATCAGAGGGGTAGCTGGGGATTGTCTACTGTGGGAGTAATTACACCATCCACTTTGGCAAGCACTATATACCAGGGCAGGGTGTATTGTCTTGTTGGTTGTCGATACTTTAACAGCATATGTAAGAGGGAAAATGTTAATAATGTAGATTGAACTTAAAAGCTTACTGTGTCCGTATCCATGACACTTTTGATTAAAACAGAAAAAGGAGGGAACATTTCCTAGCATTTGAGAACAGTTATCTGATTCAGTCAAGAAGTTACTCAGGTCCAAAAAGATTTCAGTAGGGTGACTTCCCCAGCGGTCCACTGATAAAAGACTCCACCTTCCAAAGCAGGGAGTATGGGTTTGATCCCTGGTTGAGGAACTAAGATCCCACTTGCTCTGTGGTATAATTAATAAATGTATCTCATATGAAATTGTTTATTGTTTATCTGATCACATATCAGATTTGAGGGCCATAACTTTATTGGGGAAAGAGCTGATGGGGGTGCAACTCTATTTGTCAGATCATGGTTGAGTGGAAGGGCTTAGCAAAATCAGTGAGCGTATCATATGAGAACCATCTGGCTGCGTGGGCCTTACGGTGTGGAGTATATGCAGACCTTGTTCTATTGTGCTTTGCAGATATTGCCTTTTTTTTTTTTTTTTAAAGACTAAAGATTTGGGGCAACCCTGCATCAAGCAAGTCTATCAGTGCTATTTTTCCAATAGCATTTGCTCACTTCCTGTCTCTATGTCACAGTTTGGTAATTCTCATGATGTTTCAAGCTTTTTCATTATTATTATTATAGTATCTATCAGTGATCAGTGATCAGTGATCTTTGATCTCACTATTGCAGAAAGACTAAGACTTGCTGAAGACTCAGATAATGGTAACACTTTCTAGCAATACAGTATTTTTCAATAAAGGTATACGCATTCCCTAGTGGTTCAGTGGAAAAGAATCTATCTGTGATGCAGGAAACCTGGGTTCGATCCCTGGGTTGGGAAGATCCCTTGGAGAAGGATATGGCTACCTACTCCAATATGCTTGCTTGGAGATTTCCATGGACAGAAGAGCCCTGCAGGCTATAGTTCATGGGATGGCAAAGAGTTGGACAAAACTGAGCGACTAACACTTTCACTTTACTGTTGTTTGTTAGACGTAACACTGTTGCATATTTAATAGACTACAGTGTAGTGTAAGCATAACTTTTATATGTGCCAGGAAACCAAAAATATCACGTGATTCCCTTTATTGCCATATGTGCTTTATTTTGGGGTCTGGAACCAAGCTCTTGATATTCTTGAGGTGAGCCTGTACTGTGTATTTTTAAGGATTGTTTGTAAATCGTGTGTAACCCATCCTTTACATCAGTTACATTTGTAAAAAACGTAACCATGTATATGTCGGCAAACATGGTTTTTCAGAGTCGGTGTGGACTGCTTGCTTGCTCAAGGCTGCCCGCCCCTGGCCCAGGCTGGGCGCGGTGCCTCTCTGCTGCCCCCGCAGGGCTGTAACACTGCACCACTTTGTACGTCGTCACACATCTGAACTTCACGAAGACAGGGACGTCTCTGTAGCTCTACATTCAGCATAATGCCTGGCACACGTTAGGGGCCCCTCCCAAAATGTGATGACTGACTCCATGGATTTAATGGCTGAGCGGCAAAGGACGCACCTCTGTGCGCTTCCTCCTCCTGGGGAGGGGCTGCATTCCCGGCCTCCATGGTGGCATGTGGCCCACGATGAGCCCAGGCGGTGATGTGGTGGGATGATGTCAGCCACTTTCAGACAAGATCCTCCAGGTGCCTCTTCCTTCCCCACTCGTGGCCCATGGCGACCAGATGTTCCTGACTTTGTAGCCACGTGACAAGGAGGGATGCCTGCCCCACAAAGTGACTCTGAGTAAAGGAACTTTTATTTTGGTAAGCCACTGAGACTGCAGGGTTTATTTGTTACTGCAGCATAGCCTGATCTATCCTGACTAATGCAATGAGGAGATAGAGCCATGGGAGGTGACTTGGTGGGATGAACAGTTGCTTAGTGGTGGGGCCTGGCCAGGTTCGAACTTCATGTTCACTATACACAGTGCCCACTTCCCACACCCAAGGGTTTCTCCCCTCCCAAAAGCTTTTTCAGAAATACTGTGAATCTGAGGAGGTTTTGTTCAAAACCCTATTTCCAAGGAAGACCGGTTGGGACCCCCTCACAGGGAGGCTCCCAGGGGCGGCCAGCTTGCAGGCACACCTGCCAGACCTGCTTGTTCGTTAGAGGATCAGCAGGTTCAGCTGGTGTCTGGGATCCATTAGCTGTCATTAGCCTGGCTGACCTTTCACCCGAAGCCTCCCTCCTGGCCTGGGACTTACCCCTCCCCTCTGAGTTATCTGGATGGATCTGGCTCTTGGACAGAGAGAGAAGCAGCTTTACAGGTGACTTTCTCAGGGCATAGAACTTGGGCCCTGTACTGGGACAAGCCTCAGTTCTCTTTTCCTGTGTCCCCCTGTATCTCACACTGTCACCACCCTCAGCACATCTGACTCCAGATGTGTGGGGGGTGTTCTCCCATCAAGTGATTCTCTGCAACCCCAGCTGGGTGTCCTACAGTCAACTCAATCCTGACACTGTCTACCTGGAGAGTGAATCAGAGCCCAAAGTGTGAGGGCTGAGTCCCATCCCCTCTGCAAATGCCAATCGCGAGGCATAGGTCCCCAGGTTACCCATGGTTTCTCTCTGATTTGGCTACAAATTGGAGTTTCCCATGACCTCTTCCCCTTGGATTAGAGTATTGGCTAGAACAGCTCCCAGAACTCAGAACACTTAGTTTGCCAGCTTCTTATATGATAAAGGATACGGATGAACAAGCAGTTTGATGGACACAGAGGGCAAGGTCTGGGAGGGTCCTGCGTGCAGGAGCCTCCATCCCTGTGGAGCTGGGGGTGTTACCCTCACAGCACGTGGCTGTGCTCACCCGCTTGGCAGCTCACCAGCACCACAGTGGGGTCTTATGGAGGCTGCTCTCGTAGGCATGAACGATCATTAACTCCATTTCCAGCCCCTCTCCCCTCCCTGGAGAATGGGGGAGGTGGATATAGGGAAGGTGGTGCTGAAAATGTTAAGCTTCTAATCATGGCCTGATCTTTCTGGTGACTGGTCTCCATCCAGGAGCCCACCTAGAGTCTCCTCATTAGAACAAAAGACATCCAGGAAATTCCATGGGTTTTAGGAATCAATATGCATGCGTGGTAAGTCGCTTAGTTGTTCCTGACTCTTTGCGACCTCACGGACTGTAGCCTGTTAGGCTGCTCTGTCCATGGGATTCTGCAGGCTAGAATACGAGTGGGTTGCCATGCCCTTCTCCAGGGGATCTTCCTGACCCAAGGATCGAACCCATGTCTCTTACAGCTTCTGCATCGGCAGGCGGGTTCTTTACCACTAATGCCACTAAGTCCAGGAAGCAATATAGCAGAAATCAATATATGTTTCTTCTTATCTCACAGTCCCCAAAGGCCAAGAAGAAGAAATAAAGTTCCCCATTGTCTGCTGGAGAGGCATTAGCTCCCATAAACATTTATTTAGTGTGGATGGTGTGTCAGGCATTAGGCTGTTTAGATGGTGGAGCATGTACAGTATAGTATGTGTAGGGTAATGGAGAATGTTTGGTATTGGCATGGTATTAGTGTAGTACTTGCTTCTTCTTATTCCTTTTGTAAGAGCTTGGCGAGTTCCTCTTTCTTTTAGTGCAAAGCAGGACTCTGGAACCACCCAGTTGAAGCCGGAGCCCTGAGTGGCAGGGGTGACATGAGGGCCGGGCGTGTCCCTGCCTGGTGATGTCAGCGCCTTCACCGTCCTCAGCCCCACTCCTTCGTCAGGCATTCTGCCCATCCTTGTGCTTACCTCTCTTGCAAGCACCGTCCTTGGCTTTGTGTGATTTCCGTCTTCCCGCTAGCGAGGTCTATGCTGTGTGTTGTTTCTGATCTGCTCCGTCCCCAGTGTCTGCAAAGGTGCTGGCATGTCAGCTGAATGGCCGCTAGTCCGCAGAGTTGTGTGGGCAGGGGCTCTGCAGTGCCACCTCACTCAAGGTTTCATCCCAGTGGCTGTGGACACTGACAGCCCCTCACCGTGCCCTCCCCTCCTAACCACTTTAGTCCTCACCTGCCTCTGGATCTTTGCACCGGCCGTGCCCTCAGCCTAGAACACCAGGCCCCTTGCAGTCCCACGAGCTCCTGTGTATGCTTCAAGTCTCAGCTTGGCTACCTACCCCATCACTGCCCCCTCTTCTCTCCCCGGCCCTGGATTTCCTTCTTGTAGTACTGCCTTCTCGTAGCTACCTTGCTTCCTTGTCTCTCTTCCCTGGGCTGCCCCCCTGGGAGGATGGCATTGGCGTGCCTGGCTCACGGCTGTCTCCTCAGTCCCTGGGACAGCACATAGTAGGTGCTCAAATACTTGTCAGATGAATCAGTGCATGGTGATCACGGCCAACATGTGACCACTTGATCCATTCGTGGGAGACCCCAAGGCCGCGTGGCGAGGATGTAGGTAATGTGGCCTAGCTCCTCATCTAGGTGAGGGTTCCCACAGATTCTCTCCCCCAGGGCTGCTCTGGGTGGGGCCAAGATGGTGACCTGAGTCTACTAATCTGTCTCTGTCTCCCTCCTTCAAACAGGATTATCTATGCTTTTGAAAATTTAAAAGTAACATCCTCACTGGAAGACTTCAGAGCTCCCCCTGTCTTTTCATGTTCACACACCCATTCTATGTAAGAGCTGCTCACTGAACACCTACGATGCACCAGATGCCACCCCAGGCACTGGGATGGTCCCCACCCTCCAGGATATCACAGTCCTGCATCTCCTTCTGCATCTTTGCTCACTTCCCATCTGCACACCTTAGAAGTTGGGGCCTGTTCTTTGTTTCTAGCCCAGGCCTCTGAATCACGGGGAGGGCTTGCTCAAACCAGACTCCTGGGGTCCCACCTCCAGGAGTGGGAGGTGATCTTCATTCACTGAGATCTGAGATGACTGCTAATTTGCCTTTCAAACATATTTCTTGGTGATTGATGATTCTGTCGGTTAGGGAACCACACTTTGAGAACCACTGCTTTTGACTATACTGCTTGTACTGTCTTGGGATGTTTTGCACACCCATTATCTCATTTGTTCTTTCAGAATCTCTCACCTGAGTGCCTTAAGTGCATGGAGCTGGTGAGAGGTGAAGTCTAATGTAAGCCCAGGTCTTCCTATGGAAGACTGCCCTAGGTTAGAGGTATCAGGTGGCATCTGAAAATCTTCACCGTGTTGTGATGTCCCTGGTTAAAGCTCTGCCTTCCAATGCAAGGGGCATGGGTTCGACCCCTGGTCAGGGAACTAAGATCCCACATGCCACAGGGTGTGGCCAAAAATTTTAAAAAAAAGGAAGAAAATTCCACCACCTTAGGAGTGCTGAGAAGGTAATGATGGGTCTGGTGGGAGGAAGCGGGTTCAAGTTGTAGAGGAAGGGGCCAGGAGGACATTTCTTGGAGGGAGGGTCTACCACTCCATCCTGGAAGGAGACTGGCTGGGACAATAGGGGCTGAAAAGCAGCTGAAGAAGGACTAAGGGCCCCGTCCACCTAGAATGCGGAGGAGGGCAGGGGCAATGCTGCAGAGGAAGGGGCCGTCCAGGGGTCTAACTGGGGCAGGTTTAACTGGGGTTTACCTGCTTCGTGGGGGCTGCTCTGGAAGCTCTGGTGGCGACGCCCTCCCCGGGGAGTGGCTGGGAGTGTGCCGGACAGGACGGAAAGTCTGAGGGCCCAGCCCAGACAGCCGGCATCTCAGAACAAGCACTTCCTCCCTGGCAGCCCCATGGTGGCCAAGGGGCTGGGGCCGCACAATCCCCCAGTGTTCCCCGGAGCCTCGCGGCGCTGGGCTGGGCTGGGCACTTCCTCCTCTGGGAGGAGGCCCTGGGGGGAGGGGGGCTGCGGGTGAGCCCAGCCCCCAGAGGAGCTCTGCGGAGAGGACAGAAGACGTGGAAAAGTGTGAGCCTGGATGGGGAGTCCTCCCATGTGTATCTAAGCAGGAAGCCAGACCTGCCCAGCCCTGGAGAAGGAAAATAAACTCTGGAGACCTATTTTTAGAAAGTGGCAAAACCCTATTTCTCAGCAGGCAGTGGAAATTTAAATCTAAAACTCGCTTCTTTGCCGAAGTAACCACCGGACTGCACGTGAGGATGGGACCGTGGTGAATGGTAGAGTCTGAACCAGGCTGTGAGGCTGGCACCTGCTCACCCCTCCATACTGCTGGGCTTGAACAGAGCCATTCTGGAAGGCTCTATAGGAATTCCCCTTTGGCCTTTGTGGTGGTGCTTTTGGTGATGGTGATGATGGAGATGATGCTGCTGATGACAGTAATGATGGTGATGATGGTGTGTGCCAGGCATACACTTGATGTATGTGGTTCTTAACATATGTGATCTCATTCAGTCCTTACAACAACCCAGTTAGGTGATGATGGTTCACCCCTGTTTTCTCAGATGAAGAAAGTGAGGCACAGAGAGGGAGTTTAAGTCACACAGGAATTGCAGGGCTGGGTCAGGTCAGGAGAATGACAACTCCTGCGCTATATGATCCTGTCATGAAATCTCAGAATTGCAAGGGGTGCCGCTGAGGGCAATTCTGGTCACCTTCCTCTGCAGAGCACTTGCCTGGTGTCTGCACAGCTCCACAGAGATGGGCACTGACACTCCTTTGAACTGCTGTTTCCATTTTCGGTCAGCTCTCAGTGCTATGAATTCCCAGTGTTCGTGGAAATCTCTCATGGTGTGATCTCTGGGGCCATACAGAACTGTACTGTGACAGCTGTTTGCCTTTGGGGTCACTCTCACAGGCTCTTTAGTTCTCTTCTATTTGCAAAAAGCCTAGACAGCATATTAAAAAGCAGAGACATTATTTTGCCAGCAAAGGTCCATTTAGTCAAAGCTATGGTTTTTCCAGTAGTCATGTATGGATGTGAGAGTTGGACCATAAAGAAAGCTGAGCACCAAAGAATTGATGCTTTTGAACTGTGGTGTTGGAGAAGACTCTTGAGAGTCCCTTGGACTGCAAGGAGCTCCAACCAGTCCATCCTAAAGGAAATCAGTCCTGAATATTCATTGAAAGGACTGATGCTGAAGCTGAAACTCCAATACTTTGGCCACCTGATGTGAAGAGCTGACTTATTGAAAAAGACCCTGATGTTGGGAAAGATTGAAGGCAGGAGGAGAAGGGGACTTCAGAGGATGGGATGGTTGGATGGCATTACCGACTCAATAGACATGAGTTTGAGTAGACTCCGGGAGTTGGTGATGGACAGGGAGGCCTGGTGTCCTGCAGTCCATGGGGTCACAAAGAGTCGGACACAACTGAGTGACTGAGCTGACTGAACTGATGTTGCAAGACATGCTCAGTCCTGTCAGCTGTTTCTGCCCCTTATAAAGGGTGGCCTGAGTCAGTGTGAAATCTGAATGCTACACTTAGAGCAAAATACACCTTTGAAGGTGGATCTGATTTTTAGAAACAGCAAATGGTCTTCTGGAATTAAGATTTTGTGAGGTGGATGATTGCAATGAGAAAAAAAATTTGGTTTCAAAGATCAAATCGAGTAATTTTAAAATAGGGCCCAAACTGTCCCTGAAAGTATTTATTCCTAGAAGAAATTTACAAAAAATAATTTAAACAGTAGCAAAATTATTAGGTGATGTGTAGACCCTCCCAAGGCAAGGAGACAGTTCAATTCTCTGAGAGCGGGACATTTCCTTAGAATGCAGATAGAAACTTCAACAATGCTGCTTTTAAATATCAGTGGAAGTGTAAAAACTTGAGACATGATTGGAGAGAGACCACCAGCTCAATCTGCACTGCAGTGCAGTGTCCCCACTGCAGTGTGGCTGGGAGTTTACGATGCTGAAATAGCCCCACCTCAGCACTTCGGAGTCCGTGGGTCCTGGCGGGGGCCAGGCCCAGCGCCGGTGTGAGCGGCTGCCCTGCTCGCCCTTCCGAAGCGCTCCAGCTCCGTGGAGCCAGGTCCTGGATTTTCCACTGAAGCCTGGTTGCCTCCAGTAACAACCATGACTTCAAAGGGCTGCCAGCGAGCAGACTGGGCAGTTTCCCCAGTGAACTCACTGGGCTGCGTGCGTGGGTGTCCTGAGCACAAGGGTGTTGGAAACCACCCCCTGGCAATTCCAGGCTCCAGAACTGAGTCTGGAGGGAGGGTGGAGCAGGAATGCAGCCAAAGGATCTGCTCTGAATTGGATCCCCCAAGGCAGGGGTCACGACTGGTGATTCAAGTCACCCCTGGTAGGGCTGGCAGGGAGGCAGGGAGGCCAGGGCCACCCTCTGCCTTACTTTTTCCTCTTTCAAGTCCCCTGCAGCTCACTGGCTCACTCTTCCCCCCCAGCCTAACTTCCAAAGGCTTTACCTGTCTCTCTTCTCATCCCCAAAGCCTAGCCCTGGCACTGTTGGCAGACACATGAGGACAGTACAAATCAGAGATGAGAACTGGGTGCAGGAGGCAGGCCAGGGGGTGAGGGGAGAAGCCCTATGCGAGGGAAGGAGGACAGAAAGAAGAGTGGACAACACTGGCTGGCGCAGCTTTCATGGCTTCACAGAAGGTTCAGGAAGCAGGGAGTGTGCAGCCAGTGGCCTCCACGAGGCCCTGTGAAAAGGAGAGGAGGAGCCCAAGGTTGGGAGGACTATGTGACGATGCTTAGCACGCCCTGCTGTGCCTGTCACATTCAGGACCCCTTGGGGCAGCTCCTAATCTTCACAAACAAAGCAAGTTCCAGACAACTCTTCACATTCTAAACATCTTCATTTGGTTCTTTTGGCCTTTAAGGTAGAATGACTAAACAAAGAGCTTTACAGAGTCTCATGGAGCTTCCTGGTGGCGCTGGTGGTAAAGATCCTGCATGCAATACAGGAGACTCTGGTTCTATCCCTGGCTTGGGAAGATCCTTTGAAGAAGGAAATGGTCACCCACTCCAGTATTCTTGCCTGTAGAACTCCATGGATAGAGGAGCCTGGCGGACTACAGTTAATGGGTTCATAAAGAGTTGGACACGACTGACTAACACACACACAGTTTCACAAACAGAGGGACTGTGAGCTGAGAAGAGCTCAGTCATGCACACCCCGAACTGTGGGTCTGGGAACCAAGGAAGGCCAGGCACTTTTTCAGCTACAGCGTGCCCTGCACAGACAAGCCTCCTCTGTACCTTCCTGCTCTTTGAAATCATCTTCACAAGGCAGAGGTTATTTCCCCCAAATTTAAAATGCTTAGACACTGAATAAACAGTCCCAGAAATGGGTGTACAATAGAACTAGTTAGAAGCTGAAGAGAAGCTTGTAGCAGAGCCATCTCTGTGACTTATCAGGGATGTGGCCCCATGAGGAATTATGTAATGTCTTTAAGGGCCCTTGAGACCTGAACGCATCTTCAGTTATAAGAGCAGTCCTCTTACGCATGTCGCAATGCTCAAAGGGAGTCTAACCACACAAAAATGTCAGAGGATGCCAAGGGCGGAAGCCAGCCAACCACCGAGAAGCCCGCGGGCACACACGTGCTCCGAACTCCCGGCTCCCTGGATGTGCAGAGTCCCTGTTGACTCAGCCCCACCCCTTAAAGGTATTTCTAGAACTTAGGTTACTACTGCCCTTGGCAGCTCTGCTTCACACACAAATACTCAGAGGTTGAAGTTTACGAAGTGTGACCTGTTTATCAATGACAAAGTTCCATTAACCTCAGCTTCCAAATGTGAATTCTTACCTCTGGCCAGAGTCAGACGGTCTCAACTGCTGCCTGTGCTGAGGACGGGCAGGGCAGTGTGGGGTGGGGGCAGTCATGGAACCCTGAGCCTATCCCACCAGGCTAGGGGCTCCCACACCCAGAAAGTAAACCTGGGGCTTCTTCAAAACTAGGGTGGGTTTTCAAAATGCTCCTTGAGCCTCAGCAGTCCTGTTCAGCTGGGGAAGTAGCTGGCCTCAAGGGTCCCGAGGAAGCCGTGAGAATCAGGAAAGACTCCCAGGAGGCAGGGTGAGTCTTCCTGACCCAGGCCTCAGTGCCCCCAAAGCACGAGGGCTCATGGGGGATTACGGCAGACACACCTAAGGGGCTGCCAAGGACTCTGGGGACAGAGAGCATCCCAGGGTCACCCAATTCCCTAGACACCCTCTGCTCCTTAGAGAGACGTATGGTGTTCCCAACCAAGGTCGGAGAATACTGGGTTTGTTTGTCATTGAGGCTTTTCAGGTCATTTCTGGAATCCACCATGTCACCCCTCTTTTAGCTTGTTGAACAAAAGGTTTGTGCAGTCTCGATGATAAGAAGCAAGGCCAAAGAGCATCATTCAGAGCCAGGTTTTTAACTAGCGGGGCAGTCACACCTGGGGTCGTCAGTGACCCCACTAGAAGGACGACAAGCAGGAGAGTGAGCCTACTGGTGAAAGCAGTGATCAGCATTTCTGGAGTCTTATGAATTTGAAATGTGTAGGAAAGAGTTCTGTTCTATTTTTTTGAGTCAAGAGACAGTTTGAAAGGACTGGGAGGTTCTTATGCTGAAAAGTGCCCTTCAGCCATCATCCGGTTGCCCAAACTTTGCTTGTGGACAGGTGGGTTTGTTCCCCGATTTTTCTCTTAGAGAAGAAGGTGCTTCTGGCGGAGGAGGGCCAGCAGGAGAGCTGCCCGCGGTCCGTGGTCAGTGAGCAGGAGATGCAGGGGCCTCTCTTCTCTGCGGGGCCAAGCAGGGCTCCGGCTTTCCCAGGCCACAGCCGCTGACAGCCCTGCCTTCTCTTTTCTCGGATATCTGAAAGCCAGGCTTGTTCAGTGAGTAGATTAGGAAAGGATATGGGAACTAATTCCCCATACTTTGAAGCAGGGAAAAAGAGCCTTCTTGTGAAGAGAAGAAACAAAACCTGTTTGGTGACTTGTCATTTCAATGAAAACATAAGCCTCTCACAGGTGAGGGTTCCCTTGCGCCTCCCCTTCCTCCTGGTTCACAGGCAGGGAAGAAAACCCCAAAGCTCGCTCGGCTCCTTCAGAGAACGTGGGGACTCGGGGACAAACATTTCAGGAAAAGTTTCCTGATAAGAGTAAATTGTTTTTATGTTTATCTTGTTTTTCTCCATTCCTCTGGAATAAACAGAAAGAACTGATTTCTTAGATCACCTGCATTAAAAAACACCACTATCACATCCTCTGAAAGGTTACATTCCTCAAAGCCAGAGCTGTGGGAATTCAGCAAAGAGAATACAGTTTGTTTTGTTTTTTTTCTTTTCCACTATGGTTTCTCACAGGATACTGAATATAGTCCCCTGTGCCATACAGGAGGATATTGGTGTTTATTCTTTCTGTATATACTAGTTTGCATCTGCTAATACCAAACTCCCAGTCCAGCTCTCCTCCACCCTACCTTCCCCTTGGCAACCACAAATCTGTTCTCTATGTCTGTGAGTCTGTTCCTGTTTCATAGATGAGTTCATTTGTGTTGTGTTTTAGATTCTACATGCAAGTGATATCATACAGTATTTGTCTTTGTCTGACTTACTTAGTATGATAATCTCTAGGTCCATCTATGTTGCTGCAAATGGCATTTTTCAGAGAATAGTTCTAATTTTTTTAAAAACAAATAAAACATTCAATCAGTCTTCAGGGTTCCTTCCATAAGACCTGACTTATCAATTCTATGAAACTCTTGGGGAGCCTACACTGGAGGCCACCCTATAAGAACTCTGAGTGAAGAAACCTGTGGATGTCAGTTTGAAGGCAGCTTGTGGGGGAGAGGGACGGGGAGAGAGAGAGCAAGAACGCAGCAGCTCCAACTGAGCCCTCTAGTCTTGAGAGACCTGAGACATGGGAGGGATACCCCCACCTCTGCCTTTTCTCTTCCACAAGGCTTATAAGAGGGGAATGACCCTGGGCAGACAAAAGCAAAGATCAACACTTCCACCAAATTTGTGAAGATAAGCCATGCACACTAGCCAATAGAGCTGGAGGAGGTGGAGGACGCGGGACTCTTACCCTGGAAACTGCAGGGTATTAATTACCCTTTGCAGATGACTCTGGTTTGTCAGTTTGAACGTACCTGCCTAAAAGCAGAGAATCCCCCCTTCCCCGACTCCCTGCTTTTAACTATTAACTTACAAAGTTTCATCTTTATCTTAATACTTAAAATCAGTAAAGGAAAAAAAAAAAGAAAAAAGTTTCATCTTTATCTTAATGGGGACTAAAATGGGGTTGATTTACAAGCATCACTTGAAAAAAAACTGAGCGCTTAGGATTCATATTTCCTTTTTGTTATGAGTTTGCTTTGACATACGGTCCTTAAAATTCCCTTGAAGATGATCTTTTAAGGATGTCCTATCACAGAGTTATGGGAAGGAAACAAATGCCCCTCAGAAAACAAATTGTTTTTGTTAAGGTGATACATACAAATACAGGTTAGTTCATTAGTGGCTAAAATTTGAGCCTTGTACAAAATATACGGCTTTTGGGCACAAAGTGGCTAGAGTAAGTCAGTATAATTATGAATAAGTCGGTAGAAAACATTATGAATAAATAGAAGGAAAGAATATTTAAAGAACCATTTAAAAGAAAATACCTGAGAATAAGGGTAAAATGCAAAAACAAAGTTACTTATACTTAAGAGACATCTCTAAATTTATTTTTCAAAAATACCATTATAAGAGCAAATATACTAACATGTAGTCAAGTTCTAGTCACAATGAAGTCATAGGACAAGGAAAAAAGAATCCTCAAATACAAGAGATTTTAAAAATGTAAGCCATTTAAAAATACTGTGTAACATGGCATCTTGCTTTATAAAAAGGAAATAACAGCCCCCAAGAATCTTTTAAACAAGTCCAACATAAACAAAAGCAAAATAAAAACTATTTTTAAAAACCTGTAAAATCAAAGCACCTATTTAAATTAAGACCATTGAGAATCTATGAGATTATTTCGGGAGGACAAGAGCTAGGCAAGTCACTAAATACTGTCATTCTAAAGAAAACATTACAATCATTTTATGTAATTTACAAGGCAAATTGATACTATGAAAAACACCCTTCACAGCACATTTAGAAGTTTGAGTTTAAATAATACTCAACAGGAAAGAAACAGATTCTGTGACAGTGGCTGAGACATACAACAAAAGGGTGTGACTTTCAAGTGTGGGCCTTCCTGGTCTATTTTTAGAGGTTTTAGACTCCAGCCTGAAATAGTTTTGATAATAAAGCTGGTAGTTACAACTCAGCATGGGAGATATTGTATGGGAGAAAACCAGTTTCATGCTGTGTAACCTAGTTAGCTGCTTTTTCCCTTTTAAATTAATCCTGAGATCTTGCCCATGCAACATGGGGGCTGTTAAGACTCTTGTTTCCTTGTTTACCAGTCACCTTGGAACATGCAAAACTAAAATATGGTGAAAAATTAGGTTAAAATTAGGTGATACATGACATCTTTAAAAGTGTACTTCATACACACACACAAAGTATATTTCACTAAAAAAAAAAAAAACTTTCACTAAAAAAATGAACTCTCATGCTTAGCAGGAAGCTTATTTGGATTATTACTTTAACTGGGAACAGAACACATTGTTGAAGAAAAAGCACTTTGGTTCACCAAAATGTTATGGAGATGTGTCCTTAAAGACTTCTTGATTAGGAAGTAACGATTTCTGTGGCATCATCTCAACACTGAGATGATTTGTGTATCAAAAGAATAGGAAGTGATTGAATCCTGCAGTTATGCAACAGGGTTTTAAGAAGTTAATATATATGTAATAATGTGTGTGCATACCACCTATATCTGTATATATGTCCCTATAAACATATATTATCTACATGTATATACACAGTACATGATCATACACATATCTCCCAGTAACAAAGACTCTGTAGTTTGATAAGACTTTCTTAAAATTACCCCTTTTTCCAAACTGAACCTTTACATTCCATTCCCATAACTCAACATTATAGCAAATCATACTCTAAAGGCTTTAATTTTCAATTAAAAAAAAAACCATCCTGGGCAAACCAAATTTTATCAAGAAACAAAGGCATATCTCAGGCTAACATACTGTCTTTCACCTTTAAAAAACTAACAAAAGACCAAAACAGTACTTTAAGACACTATGAAAATTGAAGAAGCACTTCTTTATTTTCTTGAAAAGGAGGGGGAAGTTCCCTTTCTTAGGGAAATGAGTATGAGATCTACACTGGCTTTCCTCTCAAGCATTCGGGGATTAAAGGTTAGATCAGAGGCTCAATAACAGCAAAAAAAAAAAAAAAAAAACAGACCCAAATCCCCTTCCTCCTAGATCCAAAAAACATATGGCATTTACAAATCATAGAAACTTGTAGGTTTTCAAGGTTATTCTCTGAGCTCTTGGAAAAGGGAAGACAAGATGTGGTGCGGGCCCTCTTAACATGGAAGGATGTCCCAGATCGGATGCAGAATGGAGGGCGGCTCACCTATGGACTCTCAGGCCCTCATCTCTAGTCAACCCGGTACCCAGTCAGGGCTTCGTAGCTGTGCGCATGTGCACATCCATTTTTGGCTCTGCGCAGCAGGCCACCCTGCCTTCCCCGGCGTCTGCTCACTCTCCATCATAAGTTCTCCTTCAGGAGGCCGAGCTTCCTCAGGGCCTCCCGGCGGGCCTCTTCCGTGGAGCCCCGGCCCGAGAACTGGACAGTGATACCCTGGGGTCTGAACCCCACAGCCCTGGGGAGCGAGCCCGACTGCTTCCTGGCCGCCTGTCCGCAGTCCGGCTGCTGGGGTGCAAGTCTGCTGGGGAGGGCCGGGTCCGGACGGAAGGTCACCGTCTTCCCGGTGGAGATGAAGGGCCCGGCCTGGCTCTTGAGGACGTCGTGAATGCTCTGGAAGCCGTTGGCCAGCGGTAGGGGCTGTTCTGTCTGCACGCCTCTGGACTGCTGGGCGCCGCGGGCCCCAGCCCGCGTGGGGACAGCCTCCTGGGCCGGGCCTGGCTGGCTCTGCTCGGGAGAGACGCTTCTCTGCTCGATGGGCTCGCCCCTCTGGGCCCGGTCCTCCGTCTCCCCCACAGAGAGGAAGGAGACGCCGTTGATGTTGGCCAGGACCTGGGCTTTGCGCTCCTGCACGTTGACTGCGGCCTTGGAGATGGTCTTATTGAAGTCCTTCCCCGCACTGTTGGTCACACTGATGTTGCTCGGGAAGCGGTGGATCTTGGGCGCCGGCTGTCGGTGCCACGGTGAGTGGTCTCCGTGTCGAGGGGCCAGAGAAGCCAGCGTCCTCCACTCTGCAGGCCTGCCCTCTTTGGACGGAGATGTGGGCGAAAGCCCTTCATTCCCTGCCAGCTTCTCAGACATCTTCTGGGCGATGACGAGCGGAGTAGGGACCGAGCGGGGGAGTTTGGGGTGCTCTGCGGGGGGAGCGGGGGGCTCTCTCCTGGGGTGGGCCGGAGCTGCTACAGTTGAGGCAGGTGGGGAAGATGGCAGGGCCTCAGGCCCTGGGGGGTCTGACGGAGGAGACTTCTCTGCATCCTCTATCTTGCCATCAAGGTCAGGGGTGTCTTCCTTTCCAAAAGGGCCAGCCCCTGAAAAGTAGCGAGAATCCCCATAAGCTACGGCCATATGTAGAAATAAATGCATCACCTTTCCTTTCCACTGATTTTAAAAGATCTCAAGGGATGTAATACCAATTTTAACAGTGCCTCCTGCACTAAACTCCTACAGCCCCAGAACTAGAGAAAGGGTGGGCAGTATGATTCTCAGAATCACGGGATGAAAGAAGTACAAGCCAGAAGCAGTCAGCACCTGGGAAGCGCAGGAGCCACCATCCTGAGACATGTGCCAGGAGGATACACCTTACCTTAGAGGGGAGTTTACAAAGGCAAAGGAGGCGGGGTAGTCGGTGGTACCCAGCAAACCCTCCCTCAGATCCTCTAGGCAAAGGATAGTTGGATGTGTCCCTCTCCTCCAGAAATAGAAATGTTTCCTGACAGCCTCTGATAGAGGTTACTACACCAGCCCTGTGAACCTTTACTATTAATATAGTCTAACATACCTGATCATAGATCACCTAACACTTTTCTGCACTTATACTCATGTTGGCTGCAAAACTGGGAGCCATGTGCTTATCTTTGTATCCTCAGAATCTCACACAATGCCTGCCACCGAATGGGTACTTAAAATTATGATGAAAACATCATATTAGAGAATTGATGGGCAAATGGCTAACTTTCAAAAAGTGTTTTCCTTAGTAAAATTATATAATCTGACATGTTTTAAAGATCAGCTGGTTCAAATTTATTTTAGGAATTATTCTTCAGGGAAGTGTGATAAAAATGGAAAATCCATATTTAAGTCTCTTCTTTGAAAACTGAGCCCCGTGCTCGCTTCGGCAGCACATATACTAAAATTGGAATGATACAGAGAAGATTAGCATGGCCCCTGCGCAAGGATGACACGCAAATTCGTGAAGCGTTCCATATTTTTAAAATAAAAAAAATAAAAAAAAAAAAAGAAAAGAAAACTGAGCCCCATATTTGGAACATAAAACCAATAGTATGTGAAATTCTGTATCATATACAGCCTTGATTACAAAAAATAAAGGTGGGGAGATATATTTCTAGAGGCATGTGACAAGTGGCAATATTTGCAGACAGCAGGGTAAACATATTTCCCCTCCTATTTTTCCCTCATCTTTTTTCAATCCTTAACCCCCTGCCCACATTTCCAATATTATTTCCAATCAGGGAAAAAAAAAAAACTAGAAGAAAGTTTTCTCCTTGCCTGTGCCCCTGTTTCTGTCACAGGACTCAAGGGACGAAAAACATAGCTCTCCTCTAATGCCACCCCGAGTTAAGCAAAATTAACAAAATAGATGCTGAGCTGAATTTTTGTTCTGATAGATTTTGTTTTCCTGAACCAGCTGACTTTTCAGTTGGGGTATAATCTTACACAAGAGTGGAGATTAAACCTCAAGTGCTAAAGTACTAGTCTTTTGTATGTTTTCTTTGTAGAACGGAATTGTTACCTGAAGCCATTTCCAGTTCCTTTTCTTTCTTTTATCCACACATGCAATCTGCTTATTAGACTGACTGGTCTCATTCTTTATTCTCACCCTGTGGGAATTTCCTTTCCTGTGTTGTCATCCTAATATGCCATGAAAACACCTATTTGGTTGGTCAATCAAACTACAGAGAGGATGCTTCCACCCTACAAAAAAATCTGATCAGCTCCACAAGCTCTGTACTGGCTAGAAACACAGAACCATGAGAAGAAGGAGGGGCTCTGTGTCTGGTACCACACCACGAGCCACGTCGAGGTGCTCCTGTCCTCACCTGCGGTCTCCTTCACCTCCTCAAGGCTCTCGGGCTCCCCGGCTCCAGGGCCCAGCTGCACCAAGGCCACGACATCCTCTGGCTTGGAGGGAGCGGAAGTGCTGTCTTCCAGAGACCTCGGAGAGTGCCACTGGGCGTCACCGTCACACAGGACCTGCCGCTCAAAGTCATCTTCCAGGGAATCAATCGTCTCTTCAAAAAATAGGAGGACATCCTTTTCCTCGTGTGTGAGGTACTTCAGGCTCTCATCATCCTGTACAAAAGGTTCAGGCGTGAGGAATGAGATAAAGCCAACAGTGGCTTCACAGAAGGGGAAAAACCCACAACAACACAGGGATCAGTACAGAAACCAGGGCGGGAATCATTTCCCACCTGGGAAGTGTACACTTTCCTACCTGTAGAGTGTACCAGCCAGGTAACCGCACTGGCACACCCCTGCCTGTGTGTCCCTCACCATTAGACCTGCATGAAAAAGGAGGTTGTCCACAACGTGTGGCAAATTATGGATCTTAGACAATTTTGTTCCTCGTGAGTCAATGACAAGAAAGCAATTCTTCAGTACCTCCAGAAGAGGCCTTTTCAACTCACCGCTAACAGATACACTTGGTTTCCCCATAGTAACAGTGGGGGGAATCTCTGGTTAAAGATGGTGGAGTGAACTTACATATTTATCTCATCTCCCTCCAGAAACATTACTAAAATAAAAATGGGCTTTATTTTTTTTAAAGACAAGTCACAAAGACAACTGTAATAGGAAAAGACGTGACAGCAATATTTGGGAAGGTAGACCAGCAGAAAGAAAGGTGGGAACTGACGCAAAAGACCCAAGAAAGGTGAATTTTAGTCAGCGGCTGGGGGCAGGGGCAGAAACCAACCTCCTGTGGTCTGGGGCTCAGACTTCACGGGGGTCAGCACAGTGTGGGGGTGCTGGGAGGCTCTGGAAGTCTGGCTAAGATGACGTTGAAAAGAGAAGAAGTGGACGAGAGGCTCTTTCAGAAGCAACTAGGTCACCCAGGCAGAAAACTAGATGTTTATTCTTAAAGAAGGTAAAAGAGGGATCAGAAGGGTGGGGGCGTCAAGCTGAGTTTACGGTGAAGAACCATACTGATAAAGGGGAGTCAGGGCATCAAACTGACCCTCTCTGGACAGAGGATCAGAAGGACCTTCTCTGGGGAACCGAAGGGTCCAAGTGCCAAGAGGCTCCGAAAGATCACTCTACCAGTGAAGTCACAATCAACCACCCCAGCACAGAATATTTATAATCAGTTTAATATCTCACTCTTAAGTGTGTGCATATAGCTAATGATCACCAAGCAGGTGAGAAAAACCTTTAACAAGAAAGACACATCAAAACAAGAAGGAAAAAAAGGCAACTTACAAGAAATAAACCATGTGGAATGCTGAAAATTCCAAGAAGATCATGAACATTCTCAGAGAGATCAGAGGAGAGACTGAATCCATAAATAAGAGTCTGATGCTACTTTTAAAAAATAGAAGAAAAGAGCTCTTAGATATTAAAATGACAGGAAAAAAAAAAAGAAATAAAAGCCTAGAGATAAACTAGAGTAACTGGAAAAGCACAACAAAAAAGTAAAAAAAAAAAAAATTTTTTTTAGAGCAGAAAATTAGAGAATATGTGTGTGAGGGCCAACAACTGAATAAGAATTCCAGAAACAGGAATCAGGAAAAACAGAGGGGAGGAAATGACCAAAGTAAACAGGCAAGATAATTCAAGGAAATGCCCTTAAACAGAAGGATGCAAGTTTCCAGATCAAAGGGTTATGAGAATGACCTGGTAAACAAGAACAAACCAGTCCTAAACCAAGGCCCATCCCTTGAAGTTTCAGCCACGGGAGATCAGTTATAAAGTTATAATTAAAATGGTATTTTATCAGTGTACAAAGGGAGAAGTAGACAAATGAACAGAAGAGAGAACCTGGAAACAGCCTGACCCATGCCCTGTCACCTGATTTACAACCAAGGAAACTGCAGTGGGAAAACACTGATCTTTTCAAGCAGTTGTGCTGGAAACAGTGAATTGTGACCTCACACCATACACAAAAGTTCATTGTGATGAATTGTAATGGGCCTTCAATCTGTTTTAACAGACCCTCCAGGTAATACTGATGCACTAACATTTGATATGCATTGATCTGGTTTATTTTCTCTCAGTATTATCTTGTAGTTTCCAGTACACAGATTTTACAGTTTTTGTTATCTCTCTTCTTAGGTATTTGATGTTTTGTGATGCTATTAGAAATGGCACCACTTTAAAATATTTTTATTTATTTATTTGGCTGCACTGGGTCTTAGTGAGATCAACTTCCCTGACCAGGGATCAAACCTGGGTCCCCTGCATTGGGAGCAGGAATCTTAGCCACTGGACCACTGGATCACACTCAGATATGGCGTCACTTTTTAATGTCTTCTAATTGTTGCTGGTCTGTAGAAATACAAGATATACTGACTTTGAAATAAGTAAATTTAACAAATTTGCTGCACAATACTAACAGTTTATCTGTAGGTTCTTTTCAGTATTCTGCATATACAGTGGTGTCTGTAAATGAAAGACTTTTATTTCCTTCTTTCCATTCCTCACGTCTTTCATTTTTTTCATTTTGCCTTGTTGTACCACCAGGGTCCTCCAGTTAGCTGAACAGGAGTGGCATTTTTGTCTTTTGCCCAATATTAGGGAGAACGTTTTCCATATTTCACCATTAAGCATAGTATTTGTTGTAGGTTTTTTAAAAAAATGATATTCATCAGATTAAGAAAGCTCTTCCATTCCTAGTTTGCTAAGTGTGTTTGTCTTTAAAATAATGAATGGGTTTTTAACTCTGTCAAAGGCTTTTTCTTCCTTTGTTGCAGTGGTTCTAAGCTAGGAGTGATTTTACCTTGCATGGGGCACTGGCAATGTCCAGAGACAATTTTGGTGTCACAATTTTCTCCTTAATTCTGTTAATGCACTGAAGTACAATGATTGATTTTCAGCTATTAAACTAACCTTGCATTCTTGTAATAAGTCCAACTTGGTTGTGATTCTATCCTTTTTATACATCACTGAATATGATCTGCTAGTATTTTGTTTAGAAGTTTTGTATATATATTAACAAGACAGATTATAATTTTCATTGTCATCAGGCTTTGTATGTATTTCCTTTTTCAACTTTAAACTTAGAAAACAGTGTGCTCTAAGATTTTAGTTCACAGAATGTTTTTGCTCCACTTCTTTTTAAAAAATATTTATTTATTTATTTGGTTGCACCGGGTCTTAGTTGTGGCGCTCGGGATCTTCGATCTTCATTGCAGCACGCAGGATCTTTAGTTGCATCATGTGAACTTAGTTGCGGCATGTGGGATCTAGTTTCCTGACTAGGGATCAAACCTAGGCAGCCTGCATTGGGAGTGTGGAGTCTTAGCCACTAGACCACGAAGGAAGTCCTTTTGCTCCAGTTCTTTTGAGGCTGAGTGGGGTTGGGGAAGGAACAGACTGATTTTAAAAGCAATTTTTTTCCAGTTGAAATTGTAACAGTTTCATATTAACTAGATCTCTCTAAGTTTGTCAGCTTACATACCTAACAGTTGTGTAGCCCCTAAAAACTATTTTCCTTCTAATAAGAGGGTCAGTCTGAAGCACATTAGAAGAGTAGCAGGATACTACAGGGGAAAATAGGCACAATGCATTCCTTATTTAATACTTTTTATTGAGCACTGAGAAGGCAATGGCACCCCACTCCAATACTCTTGCCTGGAAAATCCCATGGACGGAGGAGCCTGGTATGCTCTAGTCCATGGGGTCGCACAGAGTCGGACACGACTGAGCGACTTCACTTTCACTTTTCACTTTCATGCATTGGAGAAGGAAATGGCAACCCACTCCAGTGTTCTTGCCTGGAGAATCCCAGGGATGGGGGGAGCCTGGTGGGCTGCCGCCTATGGGGTTGCACAGAGACGGACACGGCTGAAGCGACTCAGCAGCAGCAGCAGCAGCAGCAGCATTGACCACTGAACCAAAGAGGAGAGGAGCAGATTTTAAAAGAACCAGTGTAATATCTTAGAAGTCTTCTGTGTCTACAGAATATATGACTAATGGGTTCACACTTTATTCTGAGAACTCCAGGATCTGGCCCTACCTAGCTTTTAAATGTCACTCCTACTTCTTTCCCCTTTCTACTCTATAGCAGAGCTGATAAACTTTTTTTCAGTAAAGGGCCAGATAATAAACATTTTGGGCTTTGCAGTCTTAATGGTGGCAACTATTCCATTCTGTCAATGTGGTGTGAAAGCTACACGAGATATGTAAATGAATGAGCTTAGCTCTGTTACAATAAAACTTTATTTACAAAAACAGGCTGGGGCCAGATTTAGTCCACAGGCTGGGGTTTGCTAATTCTTGCCCTATAATCAAATCAAATCACTTGCTATTTCCTACACCTGTTTCTCTGTCAGCAATGCCCATGTCTACACAGCCACATCTACCTGTCCTTCCTGATCCAATTTAAATGTCACCACACCTCCAGCCTACTCCCATAGCATCCGCTGAATCATGCATTCAAATATTTGAGCATCTAGGAAGCATTGGGCAATGTAAATACAAGGGTGTAAATGATGTTCTTGCTGTCTGGTTTAGTCCCTTTAATGAGGGCTTCAGACAAGAAAATAAACACTCACTTTAGCAGGTGGAAAAGACTATGACAAGGTGACTATGGGGTGTTGGAGAAACACAGAATGGGCATCAATCCACACTTTTGGCACAAGGAGTCTGATATGAAAAAATTCTGGACACTATGGAAAACATTGTGGAGATTTCTTAAAAAGCTGGAAATAGAACTGCCATATGACCCAGCAATCCCACTTCTGGGCATACACACCGAGGAAACCAGATCTGAAAGAGACACGTGCACCCCAATGTTCATCGCAGCACTGTTTATAATAGCCAGGACATGGAAGCAACCTAGATGCCCATCAGCAGACGAATGGATGAGGAAGCTGTGGTACATATACACCATGGAATATTACTCAGCCATTAAAAAGAATTCATTTGAATCAGTTCTAATGAGATGGATGAAACTGGAGCCCATTATACAGAGCGAAGTAAGCCAGAAAGATAAAGACCATTACAGTATACTAACACATATATATGGAATTTAGAAAGATGGTAACGATAACCCTATGTGCAAAACAGAAAAAGAGACTCCGATGTATAGAACAGACTTGTGGACTCTGGGAGAAGGCGAGGGTGGGATGTTTCAA